CCCAGAATGCTTTGCGTGGAGAGCTCTCCTCGCAAAGCATTTTGGGATTTTCTGTCACAGCGGCCCGCTGTCGACATAAAGCTGTCGCAACCCGACAGCGTTGACGGATAACAAAGATGATGCAGGCACCGCGCGGTGGAGGAGGAGTCGCGAAAAATTCGGGACAGTCCTGAATTCTAAGCATTTGTCCCGAATCTGGCTGTGCCTGTCCCAAATTTTAAACTTATACCAAATAATGAGTTTTTAACCTCAGGTATACATCTCACACTATTAGCTTCCGCCGTTTGCGTGCCGCCCCGGCTATGATGTATCTGTTTTGTTATCTTTCTGACTTTCTAATTCCATTTGATTGCAACTGTAAGAGCGAATAGTGAGCAAATATCTTTTCTTGTCATTTTGCGACTTTTCATTCAGCTATGTTATTTTACATTGTTAGCCTAGTTTTATTGCTCTTATAATCACATCTGATTAATATAGGCTACTAAAGACTTGAACAGCATAGGCCTAGATGTGACAAGCTTGGAAAAATGCTATTTTTTATTACTGTACATTTAAGCTAGCCTACCCACCCACCTGCACGCCCCGTCACGAATTTCTGCCAATCTCATCAGGTCACCCCATCTCAGGAGCTGTACAGGGTTGAGCATGTGCAATTTTTTAAGTGGAAAGGGCGAGTCTTTTAAAAAATTTGTGAAAATCCTCCACTATACTTTTAATTAAAATTCTGTTATTATAAAGAGAAAAAGAGCGAAAGTTGCTTCATCGTTCTTGCTTCCTCAGAGTTAATATCAAGCATTCGACTTGGCGTCCACAAAGTTTAGACAGTTTCAGCTCAATTTCCTCCTAAATAACAAATAAAAACAACTTTAAATGATTGGCTGAAAAAACCTTCTAAATATTTACAGAAAAATGAGAGTGGATCCAGCAGTGAAGCAGGTGTAGAATACAAGAAAATACAAACTTTTTTTAACCACAGTTTATTTTCCTCCATATTTTCATTCATCGGATCAACATCAGAGCAAAATACAGAATCATGAAGCTGCCTGGGAAATGGCGTTCCATACGGAGCGGCATAGCAACCAAAACTAAACCACTTCTTACCGATTCTTTCAGCATAATGTAAAAAAGGCAAAGGTATGGAGTGAATTCTGCTCCAATATTGTTAAAAAGAGCATGCTTTGTAAATTGAAATTCAAACACAGAGGCAATCCAGAAAAAAAACAACATCCTAATAAAGGAAAGGTTGTTTTTTTTTTTTTTACTAGATTTAATTTTTTGAGCTGATATTTTTTATGTTATTTCCTCAAAATCTTTTTACAGATTTTAGACAGTTGATTTTTTTTCTCCTAAATTTCTCTTTTTCCGTTTGAGTTTTTTCTGATCTCTTTCTTTTCAAATACAAGATCTGCAAAAAACATGTAATTCTGAATTTTTTTTTTTTTTATAAATCTGTGAAAACAGCAAAAGCAACTTTTAACAGCTGATTTGGAAAAAAAAATATGAAAAAGTTTCTCAAAGGTTAATTTCTGGATTACTTTTTTTTTTTATTTCCATTTACAAAACACGCCATTTGTTTGAAACATTAATGGACCAAACTTCACCCCATACAAAGGTAGACCTGAATGACTCTGAAGGTCACAGCGTACTGATGGAGCTCCAGTTGCTCCGCCTGAGGCTGCTGGACGTACCGGGAATCCAATCCAGATTCAGGAATGTTTGAGGAAAGAGTGTAAGAAACCATCCGGGTCACTGAATCAGAAGGTTCACATCTGATTTAACAGAAGAAAACATGCAAACCTCCAGGATGATCTAATAAATCATGATGTTTACGGATTTCATAGTTTTGATCATTTCTAATAAAAATGAAAAGATTGTTTCATCTCCAGTTTGCAGAACATGAGTCTGCAGCATCAGAAGGCGTTTGCTTCAGCTCTGTCCTCTTAAAAGTCCATCCGGGACAGAAGGAGAAGATATTACTGCTAAATATTTCATTTTCCAGTGAAAACATCAAAACCTCACAAAAGCATAAAAACAACAGACAGGAAACAGGATGTGACACGAAACATTCAACCACTGAGAATCAAGGCTCTGCAAAAAAAAAAAAAAAAAGTACCCAGAGGGGATAAAAACTGTCATTATTGTCCCTTTTTTAATCCCGTAAATGATAAAAACTACAGTGAAAATAATACCTGTTTGGTGTAAATGAGTTAGAGATGCGAGGCGATAATGAAGCTGCGGCGAAGTGAAAATGGTCGGATCTAAACGGAGCCAAAAGGAAGGAAAGATCCAGGTGGTCTGAAGGAGACTAGCTCCAAACATGGGTGAGAGATGGACCCAGAAAGGAGAGCGAGGGCCTAATGCTGCGTTCACAACTAACGGGTTTGGGTTTGAAGTCTATGGGAGCGTTTTCAGCGCTGCAGGAGGGAACTCTGGCCTTTTACAGCTGGATACTGAACATCAACCAATCAGAGAAGCTGACGCTGCATAAAAGCAGTGATCTCTGCTTCTGCTGAGCTGAAAGCAGCAAACTACCAAATATAAAGCAGTTAAACTGCACCGGTTTTAGCTGAAAAGGCAGGAGGATGCAAAGAGACAGAGCTCTGATCATTATGACTCCCCTAATATATTCTCTGCCTTAACGTTGGACAAACGGTTCATAAACACCTACGATAACTAAAAATGTTTTCACCACAAACCGCAAAATGCTTCCTGCTCACTTTCAGCCGCTATGAAGAGCAGCGGGAAATCCCCGACCGCCTGGACGCTTCAAAACCAGCTCACACTGTTTTTTCCAAAATCACGAGAAATAAAGTTGAGCTGTTCTGAAAGGAAAGGAGAGCAGAGCGGCGAGCGTCTGATGCTGCGGCGTTGGACGCCTCTCTGAGAACGTGTTTAGTGTGAACGCAGCACTGAACCTCTACTCCACGTCTGAACCAGCTGGTCTCTCAGAGCTACAAGCAGCTGCAGGTCCAAACCTGCTGGTTCACACCACTGATCTCTATTTATTCACTGGATTGCTGATTGCACGGAAAAAGTGAAGCCATCATCCGCCATGTTGGTACTCCCCACTCCCAGAGACATGCAGTGAAAATGCCTCCCTGTGCAGCATTTGGCTGCTAAAACCAGCAGTTTTCTGGCTGCAGGAAGTCGTTCCACTGGTAATTTCCCAGTCAGTGGATGAACTAACCAATAAATCCATCTATAGCCCATGGGTCCTATAGTTTAGTCTGCAGACTAACATTAGTCTAACTATCTCAGACTGACTGGAAGACATTGACTGAGTTAGACACTGACATTGGGTCTAACGTTAGAAAATAGAAAGTAGAGAAAATAGAAAGTAATTCACTGTGAAATGTTAATGTATTCATTCTTTATTAAGTGGATGATGCTGTCGTTTTTGTGTTGGTTGTATTTCTGAAAAAAATTTGGAAGAAAATATACATATATGTATATATACATATAT